TCCATTTCACTTCTAACTTCACAGGTGAAGCCCATGAAAGACCAGCGGCTGTATGATGTGAGCACTGTTACATTTGACATGTGCTGGAAACTAGCAAGAAGGATTTGGAAAGGAACTGACTATGTTTAATACTTGACGCTGTTTGCGAACCTCTAAGCATTAATATTTCATGAATAGTATCTAATCTGTTACGTGCGTGCAACATGTTGCAAGGAGCTGCAATTGCCCTATCATATGCTTTCCTCTCCCCCACTCTTTTTACAACTGTTTTGTATAACCTGTTCCCTTAAGTGCATAATTAGCAAGCCCTCCTATTAGCCAGTGGCTATGGGCCTAACCAGCGTAGTGCATTTTCATGTACTACTGAGAACTTGAAATAATGATTGATTGAATCGGAACTAATCAAAACCACTTTATGAAAGACTCGACGATGCCTGGCAGGTGGCCAGAATTATAAGCATGGTTTATGGCCTAAATATCTCTCCTTTTACGAAGCTACAGACAAGAAAAACACGTGCTTTGTGAGGTTAGCTGACCTCATTGAGGGCTGACAGCCTGTGATCCTACAATAATGCCACACCTACGGGCAAACCTTATCTCGGCAGCTCCTATCAATGTACATAGATTACCTTGCTCAAATGTGCTAAACCAATTAAGTGTACTTTCCTTTTCTCCGAAAGAAGTATTTGAACAAAATTACTGATATGAGTCTAAAATGGTTTACAACCAGTGCCATAAAATGCACTACTTTTGTTTAAATAAACAAAAGAAATCAAGGTGATAGCCTTAGGTGTAGATTTTGCATTTTCTCGGGGGGGAAAACCAATGAGTGTGTGCGTGCGAGTGCGTGTGTGTGTGGCGATGAAGTTTAAGCCACGTAATTCATATTTTAATTTTCCTGTGCTGCCTTCTGGCATTTCGTAGAGCCTGACACTACAGGGAGAAGTGGTATTTCCAGAACAAAAGCCTCCGAGATAAAAGGGTGTACTGCTACTTTACCGCTAGGTAAAGGGCGCTCCTAACACCGCGCTTCGTCCCAGTGACACTAAAACCTGTGCTGATGTGGGGGGTGACCTGCTCGATCGTTGGCTGCGTGGCGATGACGTATTGCTGACACGGCATCATGTTTGTCAGAGCGAATTTGTCTGAAGGCATAAGTTTGAGATGCTAGGTTGAATTGCTCCAAGTAATGCTGATAGTGGTCATGACCAGTCACCAGGCTTGTGTGAATATTCAATTGCTCAGAATTTTTTAATGTATATTACAGTACTCAGATTTGTTTCAACACAAACTTAAATTAATAAATATTTCAAATTTCTACAAATAAACAAATAGGCGTATATTAGTTCACATGTCAACTTTTGTAATGGTGGTTTCACTGCAGTAGAAGAATGCTAAGCCGTGAAGGCACATATCTTAGTGTGCATTAGTCCACATGCAACCCCCTATAGAGGTTGACTGCTGTAAAGAAGTGCTAAGCCATGAAAACACTTATCCAGGTGCAATCTGCACTGAAAGACTTTACGCTTGGGCAAGTTGGGGATTCATTTCAGAAAATGTTAACAGTGCATAGAACAATTAGAAAAGAACGAAATAACAAAGGCGAAGAGTGCTCTTTGCATCTGTTGTCTCATTCAACTAATCATTCTGTGTGCTGTTAGCACTTTTTTGAAAGCAATCCACACTGTCGTGAAGCGTCATTTCACGGTTAAATGAACATATATTACCATCACATCAATTCATCATTCTTAAAGCCCAAAACCTCGCTATACTGTCTCATATGCTCCAAGTTTAATAACCTTTAAAACGTAACATATTTTACAAACGACCCCTTTCATTGTATCAAAAGTTAAATCAGTCTACTAATTCAAAGCTTTTTCGACTTCTTTTGACCCGAAAAAATGGCACTTGCAAAAGCCTTGTTTGTTTAAATTTCTTGAAAGGCAGGTTAGGCTATGACAAATATGCCCATTGTTCTTCGTAATATGTGAAATATACTATTTGTATTCGATTCAAATTTATTCGACCGAAACTCCTATTTGCTTCGAAACTTGAAATTCCTTATTCACACAAGCCTACCAGTCACTGAAATGCACTGGTGTCATTCCTTCCCTCTTTGTCCCTGCCTCAGTTCGCACTCAAAGGTCTTAAAGAGCAAGTAAGCCAATGAGTTGTGGGAGGAAAACAATTTAGAATTTAGCATATGCTTTGTATTTGATAAGGTATTGATGACTCAAGTTGTTTGGTTTGTCAATCTCTGTGCCATTAAAAAATCAACATTTTGCTACATAGAGTCTGAATAGCATGAATAGGCCTTTTTGAAGTAACACAGAGAGCCCAGTTGCATAGTGGCTGCCTGAAATAGTTTAATAACTGAGTCCATAAATATGATGTTACTAAACACTGACTGTACAAATCCTGTTGTAATGTAAACTGGCTAATTTTTCAAATTAAAGGTAAGCAGCATAAATATAAGTGAAGTTGTGTGCCTTGCACTTAATACAAATGAAAGGCATTTACTGAATGCTGCAACTTCTGTTCTATATGAACTATGAGTATTTTGAGTTCACAGTCACTACTCTGCAATGGCTGGTTATTAAACTGCCCCTGCTTAATGCAGTATATAAGGCCCATCATTGTAAAGGCTAAACAACATATGTTTAAAAATTCACACACAGGAATACCTTTGCTCAAGCTTACCAAACTATGTTTTAAAATTCACGCACAGAAATACCTTTGCTCAAGCTTACCAAACTATACCTCACTGGCGCGATGAATTTGTAGTGTTGCCAGCATGAGGGTGGCTACTCTGTACTAAAACTGGGATGATGCAAACTGTATCTAATAGAAAGCATGTTTTGTGCAAGAAGACGCTTTGAAAGTCTTTCATTAAGTTTTTTTTTCCTTCAAACATACACTGTTTTTTTATGAAAGAGAAGACATGAGCCGGTGGCCTGTGCTCTGAGGCGGCTACTTACAGAGTGGTCAGCCAGAAGCTAAAGAAAGCACATCCAATATGGTGTCATGTATTGGTCAACCAGTTGTGGCTAGTGAATTAATGGGTGATACCTGCAACATCATCTGCTGTCAAATCAAGTGTGAGGTACAAGCATGGTCGAAACATACAAGCTCAGTCTTTCGGCTTAAGAGAGTTGTGCTTTGCATCATCAAGAGTTGTAAAGGTGAGCAAGGTGCACTCTGGTAAAGGTTTGGTTGTGGCTTGCCTAATCGCTTCTTACAAAGCCAGCTATAGGCTTTTGGAGCCCATGTGTTACCCCCCTCGCACACCGACACTCTTTACACTGGTATACGCCAATGATCCTTGACTCTAACTTGGTCCCCCAACTGAACTGATCATGACCCTGCCTCTCAACTAAAACCACATCTCTTTTCATTGATTGCTGCCAATAAATGCATGAACACAGTGACCATTTAGCCGAGGGGAATCACTATCATTTTTTCTGAAGCCCATGCACCTACTTAGAAAAACTTGGAGGATAGTGCCATGCAAGGTCGGTTTGAAATCAATCCTTGAGCAAATTTTAATAGAAACTGGCACTTTTACGTTTCTGCAGGACACAGGAACAATAATACAACTTAAATAACTTTTTCGCTTTTATTTGCTGGATCCTTCAATGCTGCACATGACTCGCTTGAAAAGTTATTCAGTGGTGGCTTATGCGAAAGCGATCTACATGGCTTGGTCATGTAGCTTGATTGATACCAAATATCACGCTTGATCCGGAGAATCATTGATCGATACTGTTTATCGTCCAGTGATACGATTAACACAAACCAAACCTTCGGATGAGTGCACTGATCTTGCCTATGTGGCTTCGGCTTAGGCAAAGCACAACTTGCACAAGCCCAAAAACTGAGCTTGTATGTTTTAACCATGCTTGCACCCCTCACTTGGTCTGTTGCCGGCATACAATGTGCAGCAGGCATCACCCGTTTGTCCACCGGCCATAGTGCGATACTTTGTTTGCCAGTGAATGTTAAAGGTGGAGGATGCACTTTCTCTAGCTGCCCGTTGACAATGCTAGAGGCCGCTGCTGCACAGTGTATATTCATGAGTAACCTTTCTTAATAGAACAACAGTACGCACAAACATTAGGTTACTTGCTTTTCCTAGGCAGCAGAGCTCGCTGTTTACCACTCACGCATACAAGCAGTTTTCACTCCTCGCTATTGGATAGTCGATGATTTTACTTAAAAGCGAGGGGAGACATTCTAGATTTGTGAGCGATAAACCCAGTGATCTGTTAAGCAATAGCCACTTTCGTTGATGTTATGTGTGTTTTCATGCATTTGGGGTTTCGCCTTAAACACGAAATGGCCATTCTTTAGAGAGTGAGTGTGCTAATAGGCGAAAGCCCCACCTGAAGAGTTTCTGCCTCCATTACTGTGGCAATTGTAACCAAAGTCATATGGTAATTTCCTTCTTTACTTTTTATGTCATTCATGTAAGCTGCATGGACTATTGTATCCTTATTGGTTTTTGCTGTTACACATTGTTTGTTGGGTGAAGGCAGCAAGAATTGCTTTACCTAGAATTATGATTATACATATGATGTCATGCGACCGAACTGCAGATAACTCCCTGGCGCACTCGCCAAATCGACAACGTGTGTTCGCCTATCTGCCAATGGGCGCCACCAGTATACAGACACCAAATTACACTCATCATACGATGCATCGCCAAGGAAAGCGGTTGAACAAACTCAGTCAAGCAACGGCGTGTGCCAGCCAACGCGTGCACGAGTTGCAAGTGCGCTTCGTTCAGCCAGACCCCTTCACAAGTGATGTCAAATGTTGCAGTTTGTCATGCGGCTATTGTCTGAACTAAAATCGGAGCCAAGCGGGCGGCTCGTTATGACGTAGTTCGCGCGTGATCGACTGCCGAGTCACAGCCACTTACGCGGAAGCGGGGAAGGTTCGCTGCTGGCCAATGTTCGAACGAACCCGCGTGTCGGAAAACTAGAGAACGTTCAACTTGCCTGCAGGAAAGGATGGTCGAATAGCCTCAGCTTGCCGTCTCGACCGACAGAGAGCGATGAGTCCGCCCATCTGAAAGCACAGCGTATACCCGCAATTACAAAACCTGCAGAGCTTCCAATTACCACTCTCGCCGAACAAGCAGTCAGGAGTGAGCGCTTTATACATAATGAAAGCCGTAACAAATGCTTACGCATTCGCAGTAATTGCAGGGGCGAAAACGAGCCATGAAGCAATTGCACAACAGAGCAACGCCGGTAAGCACGCTAGTCACCACTCACTTTGTCGCCAATGTGTTGATGGAACCTGTGAAGACGAGCATGAGCGCGAGGAACACTTGGTACTTGGTCCAGGCCATCGTCGGAGGCGGCTTCCGCGACTGCCGAAAGGGAATGCAGCGTGCTTGGCCGATCTGACAAGCCAAAGAATACGCCCCCCGTCACGAGGGCGGACGCTATCAGCCACTCAACTCGGCGCGATTGAAACCTTTATCGCTCGCCGCGAAAAAGACAAGTCGCGGCGCAATCACACAGCTGCCGTCACGGACTGCCGTCGAGGTAAGGTGTACGCTGGAGCGTCATTCACGGCGCAGCACACTCGTGAACGGCCGCGGTGCCACCTGACGCGACGTCTTCTAGACAGACCTTGTATCGACGATGTCCACAAGTGCTACTTTGTACAAGCACAGCTGCCAGACGTCAGATCGACGGGCTCGACTCACAACCATGCGCGCTTCGAAGACCGTCGAAAACCCGTGCGAAAACCGTAGTTGCAGAAAACGACCACAGCCACCTTGTGGAGTTTCAGTGAACCTGCAATACGTGGTATGACCTCCGAGATTGTAGCCAGCAGAATACCTGTCGACGCGCAATGACGTAGCCTCCGAAAGGTCGCCGTAGCCACGCGCTGATAAAAAGTATCTATAAACGTTGGTCTGGGCACATGGAATCACCACTACGGTGTCGTGGTACTAAACATGTCGTTTAATTGCTCTGTGGCACCACATCCACCACATCTTCCCCAGTAAGGCATACCGGGTAGCTCTTTGGAAATGATGTTTTTGGTTTCGAAGTGTACTCGCTGACTATATACGTAAAATGTGGGCACTGTGATCTGTGTATTCTAATAAAATTTCGCGCTTCAAGTTATCGCGTGTCCGTGTATTCCCTGCGCTCATGCGAAGCAATATCTGGGGTTTACGCAATTCTCCTTGGGTTTACGTCGAGAGACACCGTGGAGGGCTCCGGAAGCTTTGACCATCTGGAGTTATCACACGTGCGGTACACGGGCCTCAAGTGTTCGAAGAATGCACGAATGTAACCATTTGCCCATTGGACGAAATGTTCGTGTTGTGCACTTCTTTTCATCAGATGATCGTATTACCCCTGAAAATCATGCTTCGCGTAGGGCACGAGGAAAATAGCAGGCGAAACTGTTGCCGCGCTACCTGGCAAATAAAAAATGTTTCTTTTCCATTTCTGGCGCCATCTACGCGTCGGTTTAAGAACTATTTATTGGCTCGCAGAACTTTCTTGTGCCCATAGCATTTGTCACCGGTCGTGGATGTACGCGTGGCTTTTGTACAGGATACTGTTGATTAAATTATCTGTCAGCGAATTTCTCATGTATGTTATTGCAAACTTGCAGCAGTGCATATCAGGAATACAGAGCTGGGGAGAGACGGCTCAACTGAGGCAGTGGCGTAAATCTGCTTAGTAGTCTGCACAGGTAGTGGCACCAAATAATTCGTACTTCGGAGCATGAATGTCGACTACATTTGGGATGATCGATCGCAATGCTTCCGTGTCAGCCACACCACGACGATTGTGCATGTTAAAAGGGACACTGAGCCCGCTGTTCAACACCGCAGCCGTGGCCTAGTGGTTAGGGCGTCCGTCTCGGCTGCGGGAGGTGGCTGGTTCGAAACCCACCGCCGGACACCCACCGGATTAAAACTGGGCACAAGCATCTCCCGGCCAGACGCCCGGCTTTCTTCAGGGGGATCGTTTGGGGGAAGCTTCGCTAACTCCGCTGTGTCTGTTTCGAACGGCGCAGCCTTTGTTGAGGCAAAGGTGGTTGCCGCGGTAAGCGGCTGAAACATTACGAGTGCAGACGCAAACGCGCGCAGCGAGCACACGTAGCGCGCTTCGTCACTCACTCGACCCCTCACACGGGTCCACAGCTCGCGGCGCGTGTCTACCTGTGTAGACAGCGCCTGCGTACACTGACATGATCGGTGTGCGCGCATCTGCCCTCACCGGCGGACTCCGCAGCCAATATCAGCAGCAGCAAAAAAACAAAAAGGGTGTGACCGCGACAGTGGCGGAGGTTTCGGTCAGAGTGCCCGCGAAGCTTCTTTTTTTTTTTTTTTTCGCGCATTTGGCTGGATGGAGTTCAACAACTTTTTCCATGATTCAGCGATTTAAAGGGCCAAACCACATAAGCGCGAAAATGCACGCGACAGCGACGAGCGACGCTATGAGCGACGAAACAGGGCGTTCGCGCGACGTGTCGCGTGCTCGTTTTCGCGCGATCGCTCGGTTCTCCAGTTTTGGAAACCGTCGCTCATCGCCCGGAAGTGCTGGGCTCAAGCAGTCAATAGCGAAATACCAGAAAAGACAAAGACTACATAGGTGCACGTGACCCTGCCCAAGTCACTGGGCGCAACAAAAACTAACGCAATGTTTATTATGCATGTGCATATAAAAAGTGCTGCAAGGCAATAATAAACATTTTCCGTTCCATTACACAACAATATATCTTGTTTTTAAATTAGAAACCGCTCGCTACGCGGTTTTCTTGGTGCGAGTTGACGGCCTCATGCCAGCAACAGTGGAATTCGCTCGCCGAAGCCGTCGCGTGAATGAGGTTTGCCTGCGCTAGCGACTGATCGCGCTAAGACGATCTACGTCGCGTCGCTCGTCGCTGTCGCGTGCATTTTCGCGCTTATGTGGTTTGGGCTAAACTACTCTATTTGATCCACAACAGACGCGAGCACACTCAACGACACCTGGCCATGCCCAATGGGGGACAGTAAGGATCAAAGTGACCACGCTCACGCGGGCCCTCTGGACAGCCAGGATCTGAAAGTCCTGACGATAGTTATAGCGCGAGAACAAAACGATGACACAGAGACACTCGTGTCTTTCGTGTCCTTCTTGTCTCTGTGTCGCCGTTTTGTTCTCGCGCTATAACTACCCTAGCAAAAATTCTGATAGAAAAACTGATAGGCCATCAGGTTATTGACAGTTGTATCAGTCTATAAGTGTATCAGTCTATAGGTGTATCAGTCTATAGGTGTATCAGTCTATCAGTGTACCAGTCTATCAGTGTACCAGTCAATCAGTGTACCAGTACTCGTGTGCCAGCCTATAAGTGTAGCATTCTACTCTGATAGGCCCACAAGCGAATCGGTGCTTAGCCAACTGGCAGGTGCACCACTACATCAGAGCAAGCAGGACACAAATATGAACACAGAAATCAAACAAAATATTTTATTTGATGTGCCATTCCTTGGTTAATCTTTTGATTTCATAAAGTCATTAATTTTGTTTGCCAAAGCTTTATTGAGGAGTTTCTTCATTTGCTCAACCTCTCCAATCAGAACGGTGTGCTCCAAAAAAAATGGTTGAAGAAATCTGCATGATCAAAAACAAAGCAAGTTACAGGCTCTTATTAAGCGACAATTATGTGCACCCTAAATAGAGTCAATATGACAAGAAAATAAGTAGTTCTACCAGTCTGCCTCTCTAATATTGTTTAAAGTTAGTTTGTGGATTCTTGCATAAAAGTACCCAGCTCCAGTAGGCAAAAGCTACACTTGAAGCTTTAGTAAGTAATTATAACACAAGTTGGCAGTGAAACCTCGGCTGATTACGTGCAAAAATGGAGCCACCAACTTTCATGAATTTTGGTCAGATTGCAAAATTTCACCTACCTGAAAACACAGCATATGTTTCTTTCTCCTTGGGAAATTTCGCCTCCCCTTTAGACCGATTGGAGGCTGCGCCAGTAACACTTCTACTGACTTGGCCTGCTGTATAAAAAATGGTAACGGCCGCCTCACGAACAAAACGAGTCTGTCTTTTCAAGCCCATGGGGCGATTGTACAACCTCTTGGGAACGGCAATTCCTTTGCTCCGATGCACCTATAAAACAAGTCAAAGATGATGTGCACACATTAGTTTGTCAATGCACATTTTCTCATTAAAGCAAAGCAATATATCTTCAAGACAAAGCATACTAGAGTTTTAAAGTACCTCTCTGTCAGTGGGCACATAATTGATAAGCAGTGCAGCCTCCCTCACACTTGACTGGGCTACCTCAGGGCTGTCCGTGGTCGCTGTGGCGGTTCCAGCGTGGCAGCACATAGTGGTGGCAAAGGTGCAAGTCGTTTCTGTTTTTGAGGCTTGCGGCTGCAACATCCGCAAAGGACAAGGTTCTTTGCTGCAATGAAAAAGTAGAGAAGAAATAAAGTATATTGCACCCTTAATTGTCATGGTACCATCCTAGGTGTGCATGGTCAAATAATATATATGATAAACATAGCATGCAGTTGAGATATGCAATTAAAGCGTAATGATACGTTGCATGTCACGTCTCAAAACCATGGTGGGGATGCCGTAGTGGAGGGCTCAAGAAATTTTGACCAAGTGGTGTTCTTTTTAATATCCACCACACTGTGAAAGTTGTAAAAGCACATTTTCAAGTGATTAGAAAAACATGCATGCATCTATGCCACCCATGAGCTTATATTGCATTCTGCTTTTCAGCAAAATTGCCCGCTATAAGAATAGGGCAACTTGCTGCTGCATACAACCGTAGCAGCAGTGCGTTACAACAGCTTATGAAGAAATGATAAACCTGTTTGGAAATTTTTGCTGCAAAGGGCATTTTACAGAAGGCTTATTCTTTTTAATACCTTTGTATTTTGAGCCCTCAGCATATATATTCACTTCTTTCAGAAGCTCTTTCTCTGTTCTTTTTTTCAGCATTAGCAAACAGCAGGCCTCCCTGCTGCTTCTTAAAACAGTTGCTGACGTGCTTTGTCTTCTGCTTAACAGCAGCTTGACGTCGTGTTTCTTACAACTGCAGACAACGCAACACACAAATTTCACTGCTAGTTCGCAAGCACAAACAGGGCGTATATCCGCACAAGCAAAAATAATTTTAAACCAGTCAATTGTACAAAAAAATGTGACTAAGCTGCGCTCATACCACGATAGAATAAAATAAAATAGCCCTTCAGCATACTGCAACTTTACTAACACCTTCAATACGACGTTCCGGCGCCCGCGCAGTAGTGGAGCAGCGATGCTCTGATATATTCGCTAAGGGGGCGGGGAGTATATCAGAGCATTGGTGCTTCATGTGTGACACGGCACCACGTGCAGAGCAAAATTGGCTGTCGATTGTAATTGCGCCGCAGTAGCACATCAGCCGCAATGTCAACGATAGCCAAACTTGGCTGTCGGTAATAATTACGCTGCAAGTAGCATATCAGCTGCAGTGTGACCAATTACAACTTACTTTTTTAACCGACTCATTGTCCACTTCATTTGAACTGCAGCTATCGGAGGAGTCGCAATCGGGTCTGCGGAATGGATGGTCGTTTTTCTGTTGCATTCCTTGCGTCATCCTCGGTGCCTAAGGAAATATGACCAGTAAATAACTTCAGAACGACTGCTTCTTCCTCTTTGTTTTCGTATTGGGAATACAAGAGGCTCGTACTTACCGTAAAGCTTAATCACTTGAGCGTGATAGTGGCCGCAGTGTGTGTTATCCTTCTAGAACACCCGGTACCACTTGTGAGGATCAAAATTGCCTGTATACTTCGGATTGATGTACTTACATGCACTTACCGGGACTATTAATTTTTAATTATCATCGCGAAACCAAACATCTTGGAGAATTGCGAGTGTACAGGCGCGATACTGAGCAATTAAGAGACTGCAACAATGTTCACATGCACTACACACGCACCAAGGCCGCCACGAACTTGCTATTGATGACGATGGCAGTGCCATTTCTGGATCTCCCAAGTAGTTTAGACTTCTTCCTCAACACAACGCAAATTAGTTTTTGAAAACAAAAATTATTAATTGCAAAACATTTACTTCATGTTTTTACAACCTTAGAGGGCAGTTTTTTTAGAGTTCACAGCAAATAATATATAAACAATGAATGCAAATACTGTAAAATGGTGACGCTATGCATAGCCTCCAAGATGGCAAACGCGCAATGATGGGCGCGCAGCGGCAATTTCAGAGGTCATGCGCTGTGTCGCCATACTCGCGTTGGTTAGGCTAGGTGGCGTTAGCCGCTGCTCAACTTAAAGGGTACAGCCATATCAATTCATTCATCCATTTATCTATCACATTAATATGGCTACAATCATCTAGCCATAATGGCAGTCAGCGACCACCATGGCGACGAACACCTTCCTCCGTGGCGACCACAGTACAATACACCTTCACCACGCGAGGGGTTCTGAAAAGTCACTACCTCGCGCCGTGATCTCGCGGCACATGTTATAGTTTTCGGCGAAATCCGCGCCGCGTGCTTAACATTCAAGGCACAGCGAGCAGGTTGTGAATGTGAAGCCTTGGTCGATGTAATCGATCTTTACCCGTTCACTTATTATCAGTCCCGCAGCCTCACTTTGCGTGGACACCATCAAGCGCGCTATTTGAAGTTTGTGTCAAGTTCGACGAGAGATGATTCAACTCAACCCCAGCCTCGATCAAAAAGAAGAAAAAAAAAACGCTATTTGGAGCCTGGATCGCAATATGTAGTACCTCGGACAAGGAGCGGTGGAGGCGCATTCGGCCAACTAGCTACACTCAGCAAGAGCATTCCTCAGTCTTTAGCTGGTAATTGATGTTCTGGAGTAGCGGCCTTCGACACGTGAAGTCTGAGTGATGCGCATAGTGACAGCAATGAAAATCCTGACCCCGACGACACTTACGGCTTCGAGGAAAACTCGCTCAGTGATTCCGACCAGACTGCAGATGCGGCTCGCGACAATGTTGGCTTGAGCGACACTTTTTAAATGCAACAATGGCATGTATTTTACACTGGTGCATGTCAATAAACTGCCAGGCTCTGTGTGTGTGCTCATGTGTGTGAGGCTTACATCAAAATTATTCAAGAACCCATCTCACATTGGTATTTGCTCAGAAACAGAGAAAAGTTGTGCTTGAAGGATGTGGCCAGTGTGTTTGCACATGAAAGTTGGATGTGTTTGCTTTGTTGCTGATGTACCAAACTTGTTTAAAACTTGTGACATATATAGCCAGTCTAATATGAGTTTAGCAAGGTGGGACAACTAAATGTTGGCTCGATCCTTTCTATTGTTGTTCTCTTCACAACTGAACTTTTTTCATGGTAGGCAGTTTCTTGTGTGTGCGTGAGCGTGTGTGTTTAGCAGTCAAATGCTTTAGCCTTAATTAGTACATGGTTTTTGATTTATCAATCTTGTGAGAATTACAGGCAAGTATTATAGCAGGTCTGTGCCACCGCTTGGGCTTTGTGTAAAGACACACCTGTGAATAACATATGCTGCTATCAACATATCAGCCAAATCTTGCAGTTGCAAGTGACTTTTTTCATATAGATGACTGCGCTCACTTCGAATTTTCGGATGCCTGTATGTGGTGTAAAACAACTGAAAGCATGTTATTGGCCTATAGCCAAAATAAATCAAGAGCAGCGTTTCAATCGAATGTGCTTCTTGCGACAGTGTGCTGCCACATGCTGGCACTGCTGTCCAAAATCTAACATTGCATAGTCACACTCGCACATGGGAATGGCAACACGAAAAAGCTACGGTGTTTCTTCAAGCATGCTCTAGCTCATAATGTGTGCTTACATATCGCACTTCTTTACTGCCATTCCTCCCTGTAGTTTTCGGCACAGCTTGTTGGGACCGACGAGAAAAAAAAAGAAAGCGGTTGAAGTGCGCAATAAAACCCTCAACTTGCTTTGAAATATTTCTGGCAGTGGATATGCGAGGCATTAAGTTTTGATGATGAGGTCAATTAATGATTACTCAAAGCAACATTTCATTGTTTATTTAAATTATCTTATCCAGTATGGATTATGACACTAATGTAGTGGCTCATCATTAAAGGCAAAGCACTATGTGAGAGAGACAGCTGGGGTTGGCTTGTGTTGTGAAAGGGAGAAACTGCAGCACCACCCGAGGCTTTCGAATCAACGCCGCTTGGAAAAATTATTGTATCAGCAAGCTCATTTCACAGTAGTGGACTGATTATTAAGTTATCTCCCTTGGAATGTTTACTGGCCCTATAAATTAAAATTTAGAAATTATGTTAATATTGCTCTGTGATGAGAAGTTTTGTTTGTATTGTTTCAAGTTATGTTTATACTGTCATCTGATAAGCTTTGGATACTAGTATCTTGAAATTTCTAGGGGTCATCTATCATTGTCAGCATTAACTGTGTTGCTATCTGGCACCTGATATCCCATTTGTACACAGAATAAAGCGTTCATCTAGGCTGAAAGCTGCTTTGCATATTTAAAGCTCAGTTTGTCAATTATGCACCACCATGAAACATTGTACATTTTATTCTACGCATCCAAAAGCTGCCAGTTGCACTCTTTGAGTCATCATAATATTTCACACAATAGTCGTCAAGTGTTCAATAGAAAACACTGATACACTAATATACATGCAGAAATAACCAATGACATATATGTGGGCAGTGTGTTCAAAAAAAGAAGTACCGTTAAAATGACAGTAATGCATCTTGAAGACCCGATAAATGAACAAAAGACTAAAAACCTAAAGACTAATATATGCTATAGAAATGACTAATCAAACTTATTCAAAAGCTGGTAGCACTGGTAAGACTGTGTAACAGTCTGATATGAGACTGGTAGCACTGGTAAGAAATTGTATCAGACTGATATGAATCTCTATAAGAACTGGTAAGACTTTGTATCAGTCTGGTACAAGACTGGTACAACTTATAGGAAACTGTATCAGACTGATACAGACCTCTATCAGAATTTTTGCTAGGGTATCGTCATGCCATACCAACTAGCCCAAGCTGCCCCACTTCTGAAAGTCCTGTCTTGACCTTCAATGAGTGCCTTCATTTCCTCTTGGTAGAACAGGGAGACCTGCTTTTATTGCTTCATTCAATGAGGACAATTAAATGAATACCGGTACAGGGGAAAACGTTGTAGGCACACATAACACATATCTGAGCAAGGTTAATTTGATTGAAGGCCTCAAATGTGATTGTAGTTCATTTCTTAGAAATCCCCCCCCCCCCCAATCCAATGCCCTCCGGACCCGTAGGGTACCCAAGTAAATAAATAAATAAAAATTTCCATTGGTTTATTTCAGACATATATACACAATCCACAGTGTTGAGTATGTCTACAAGGAAATGCAAAACAAGACTGTATTTCTCCTGATGAGGCCTTCACCCCGGACTTTCATGTCCGACAGCAGGAGCAAAACCAGGGAAAACATGTCAATACTAAAAATGATTACACTTCTCATCACACAGCATGAAAATAAGAATGAAAGTAAAAAAGAACATTTTGACAGGAGTCTAAAGGGAAAAACAAGTTAATAAAAACTGCAATAGTGGAAATAATAGTCTTTGCATATGAAGCACGTAAAATATAAAATAAAGGTAAGTCAAACCACTTTTAAGAGACCCTGAAATAAAGTCAAACTCCTTTATAAGAGACAGTAAAATACGGTTCATGAGAAATGCACACGAGGTACCCTGCTAATAAGAGACATCTCATATAGGAGACAAAAAGGGCTGCCTGGAGAATGTCTCTTATAAAGGGGTTCAACTGAACACATCATTGAAAAGTTTGTATTACCTAAGTGATAACTGAATTCGTGAAGCTGTGTGTATTGGGTTGAATACTCTTCAAGGTAACTCTCTATGAATGTGAGTGCCAGTCCGCGGATCGTGGACTTTTGAAACAAACTTTGGTGTTTGACTGAATCAAAGCTTTTTCGAAAGAAAAAAAAAAAAGCCCTACTCTAGAGAGTCACTGTTCAAAATTGCTGAATATCTTTTCTCTATTTACAGTAGAGCAGATTTCACCAATTTACCTGAGTGAAAGCCATACTTGTGTTTGAAGAAAATATTTTTAACTTGTATGAAATATACATTCTCTACCACCTTGAAAAAAAAACGGCAATACCTTGATTGATTTGTGGGGTTTAACGTCCCAAAACCACCATTTGATTATGAGAGACGCCGTAGTGGAGGGCTCCGGAAATTTTGACCACCTGGGGTTCTTTAACGTGCACCCAAATCTGAGCACACGGGCCTACAACATTTCCGCCTCCATCGGAAATGCAGCCGCCGCAGCCGGGAATCGACCCTGCGACCTGCGGGTCAGCAGCCGAGTACCTTAGCCACTAGACCACCGCGGCGGGGCAAAACGGCAATACCTATATTGGTCGATAATTGTTGAGGTCATTTTTGCTACCGCCTTTAATTAAAGTACGCCCCCCACGTTTACAGCGGCATTGGGCAGGGTTTCACCGCCAGCATGCGGCCACGGAATAATCTGCTCTTGTACGTTCTGCAGATTCTCGCCTTGTGCCTGGGGTTATCATCGGATGGATGGTCACCGGAAAGCCTGCTGCCAGTGATTTTGTCACCCGACGCCAATCAGCGCAGTCCTGAATTCTGCTGCACAGATGAATTTTCCTGGATTCGGTGGCCAGCTCAAGTTTCGGTTTCCGGTGCTTTGAACTACACAGTCAAATCGACAGCGACAGGCGAGGCCTCGAGATACGCCCCCCACGTTTACAGCGGCATTGGGCAGGGTTTCACCGCCAGCATGCGGCCACGGAATAATCTGCTCTTGTACGTTCTGCAGATTCTCGCCTTGTGCCTGGGGTTATCATCGGATGGATGGTCACCGGAAAGCCTGCTGCCAGTGATTTTGTCACCCGACGCCAATCAGCGCAGTCCTGAATTCTGCTGCA